CAGCAAAACTAAAATAGCTATGGCGTATCAACAGCTATGACAGAGCCTTTAAAGTTAAGCAGAGATTTAGCTTTCACTTACTGAACATCTGTGCCAAAAATTAGAATTATAGAATTATAGAATCTTTTTTTTTTTTTAAAGAACATTAAAATAATCTATCCCAATCCCAACACATTCCCACCATGTGTGCTAAACACATCACTCAGCATCACGTCTTTATGTGTCTTGAACAAATCCAGGAACTGTGACTCCATCACCTCCCTGGGCAGGCGCTCCCATTATGTTCCTGTGTTTCTTGTAAATTTACCCCTTCTCTTGTTTAAGGTTTAATTTCCAATTATTGTAACACTGCTGGCATTTTACACATGTAACTGCAGCACAGATGTTAGTACCCAGGCATATATTGCAGAGCATGTATTACACCAACGTGACTGAAGCTCCTCGGTGTTTTTTTAATGAGAAATTAACAGATTTTGCATTGTGTCAGGAAAACCCTTTCCCTGACAAAATAATAATAATAAAGCAAATACTGTATATTGATAGTTTTAGCAGATTATACATAATAACAATTATTAATGAGTTGGAAAAGAAAAACAAACTTGTTTTTTATGAAGTTCCCCAGGGGGAAGGAGAGTAATTAAAAAGATATTCTTCAGAATGTAAGTGGCTGCAAGATGCAAAATTATATTTGAACTCTTAATTGACATTTTAGAATTGTGTTTCTGTGTGAATTGTGAAAAATGGAATATCCTGACTTCATTGAAACAGAACTGCCACTATCATTGAAGTAGTGGTATTTTCAAGCAGAAAATGTCTTAAAATGTTTCATTAGATTCAGTAAACATAAACATCAGTACTAATTGCATGAAAATAAAGAGTATGTATCTTGTGAGAAAGAAAACTGAAAGAAATGAGTATACATTACGTTACTGAGTGCACCAACAGTACTTAAATTCCATTTTGAAAGAAGGAAACTAAAGAAGCCAGCAATAATATCACTATTCTTTTAGATTAGTGAAGTTTTCCCTGTTGTTAGAAAGCGATACAACTCCTTAAAGGAGTATTTAACTAAAAAAGACTCTTCTCACATCATTTAAAATAATCCTAACAAAGTTTAGCTACCAATGCTTGTTAGTGACTTTTTTCCCCCCTTTTGCTTCCTTTCGAAGTCAAGACCTATACATTGACACAATGGATCTGTTTCAAAGACATATATGTAAATTTCTAAAATATTTTTTTAAAGTTACACCTCTTTCCATAATTCAGTTCCGAAAGACACTTCAGCAACAAACACCTGTCAAAAATTTAAATATTCAGATAATTCTATATTTATAATTTTATTTATTTACTTCTTTGGGGATATGACTATACTTTTCTACCTTTAAGAACTATTCATACATCAGAATGATATGGGAAAATGATGTTATGATTCCAAACTTTGTAACAATTATGGGTCAGTCTCAGTACTCCAATGATATACTTACTGATAGTGTTCTCTCTTCCACTACACTGCCATGATGACACGAGCGCAATTGCTTCTCTACTGTTGCGTCACTGGTGATTCCTAAGAGCCCAGCTGTAGGAATCCCCCTTCATTCATCATGTATTCATTCAAATAGGCCTAGATCCAGAAAATGGACATGGCCACAAAAAAGTGCTACAGAGAAACCCTCCTGGTGTTCCCCCCCACACACAGGGCTGGATGGCTGTTAAAGACATCGCTGGCTTGTTTGAAGTGCAGTGAAATGCTAGAATGATGGACACAAAGAAATGGCACTGAGTTGGCAAGCCCAGCTTGACAGCTGGTTCACAGGACTTCCAAGAAGCCTGCAATATTGCTCTGGAGTGCTTTCATTTTGCTATTAAAATGAGATGTTGAAAGAGGAAGAATGGGATAGGCAGTACAAAAAACATATACAGGAATCTTCAGTGGATGGTGATTTTGACATAAGTTGTGTTTCTAGGAAATCAGCTTAAAACACTCTCCTCTTTTCTGTTGTGAAGAAGATGAAGACGCTCCTTATTACATGTGGGTGGCCCAAGAATGAAACATCACTTTGTTAAAACAGATGAAAATGTCAACTACTGCAAGTTTTCTCCTTTAGCTTCTCTCTTATGAATGGAACAGAGACCCGAGGCTTCTTCGGTGTAACCATATACGCAACTTGTGATTTAGCTCCTGGTATTTTCTGTAGGTGTTCTTGATTTTTTCTGCAATAAGAATGAAAAGTAATTTGTACATATGACATAAAGAGATCTTTGCTCTTTATGTCTGTAATTGTATTGCTTAGATTTACGTATTTTGACTTGGTGGGAAGATTCATTGCTGGCAGCCTGATGAGTTCTGGATAGTTGGCAGGTTAGAGCATTTATTAATGTTATTGCTTTCTGCAGAAACAGTTTGGCTGTTTCCCTCCCCTCAAACGTGGAGACTAGAAAATTAATTATTAAGGAGGATGTTACAAAAAACATATGTCAATACTGTTCAATATGTGGTTGGAAGGTAATTGAAAAAGTTATGTAGTCTCTGACTTAAAAGGAGAGGGAGTCTCATGAACACACACTGTAATTCTTGAAAGCAGTCCAACTGCTAAACATGTAGTCCTCTGGAAAAAGGCCAAGCTGAGTCTGCAAGGCCGGTTTTGACCAATGATCTCTTTCTTCCTTACTTTTTTTTTCTTTTTGTATCTTCAAAGCATTGATAAAGACACCCCAAATCTAATCTAAACTTAAACGAATGTTTGAGATCACCAAGAGAATGCTGGAAGTCTTTTCCATCTCCAAGGAGCTGAGAACTGAAGATTTTGTTTCTTGGAAAAATGAAGCAGTTTCAGAAGACTGAGGCATACCTTTTCCCAGAACTCTCATAATTGCTTCAATGCAGTTTTACAGATCCCATCTCTACAGGTTGCTGTGTGTGAATCAGAAGTCTGATCTCAAATTTTTATCTGCTGAACACCTCCTTTTACGGATGAGACAGAGAGATGTAAGGAAGTTACTCTTGTTATATTGTACCAATTTCACCTTAGAGCTATGGTAGTCCAGAAGAGCTGCTTTTTACACTCTCTCAAACTTAGCACTTCTTAACAATTTTCCCAGAAAATTGTCTTTCCACAGTCTTGATTGCCATCTGCTATTTCAAATGGGACTCATGGCAAGGAATGGATTTTCTGCACAGCCATTCTGTTTTATATTTCAGTTGGCTTGGCTGTACTGTGCTTACTTGAAAAAATTCCAAATAGTCTTATGAGAATATGGGATATACTAATAGAAAGCATCTTTCTAAGTGAGCAAGACATTACGTACATAAAGAGAACAGCTAATAGCTAGCAATTTGGCATATTTTTCTGATTTTGTTAGTCTTACCATTTTTTTCACAGTATAGTGTCTTTGTAAAAAATGACCATAGTAAACAGTGGTAATACCTATTGCAGGAAATACAGTCTGGAGGTATATCTCTTGCTTATTTCTCTGTGAAACATTTAGGATTCAGAGTTTCTTCAGTTCAGTAAGCCTGGGAAAGGATCGCTAATTTGTGTATGCAGTACATTTGGCCTCATATAACTAGTTTTGTTAATGCTATGAGTTGGTTTTCCTTCATTTTTACATAGACTCCAGACCTGCAAACATTTAAACACTGGACTAACAGATTCTGAACTTCTATCAGGTTACAGCAGGGAATAAGGCACTCAGCATGTACAGTGTCTGGCTGCAGACTTAAAGTCATTCATCTCCTGGGTCTTCTTAGGCAATTATAGTTTAAGATACATGCACATGGAGTACAGGACTCATGTAATATGGGATTTTTTTAATCTAAGTTGAGGAAAAGGTTTTTAGAAATCATAGGGCAATCCAGACAACTAATACAGCAGTTCGTGCAGGAAGTACATCAGTTCCAAACACCTTGATCACACAATGTGGCATTCAAATGAGAAATTACTGTAAGTGCATGAAGCTCATTATCCACTGCAAGCCAAAAGGAAGTATGAGTCTAAATGTTTCATCAAAATCATGGATATTCAGAAAGCATTTCTGAGGGAGGACAGCATCTTGCAAGACCACTATTTACGTATTTAACTGTTTTGGAAAGAACTTAATGATTTATTAGATTATTCCATTAATAATCCAGTGGACTAAAGACTGTGTGATATTAACATCCTTTAGCATAATGTGTCATATTCTTCAAATTACTTCATGCACTTTTCTACATAATAGGTTGTGTGTACTTCCATGAGTGAGCATATATGTCTGTGTTTTGCTTTACTTATTAAACTAGAAAACTTCAAATTATATTAACATTTATACATCATAATGATTGGATTTTCACACTTCTTGGAACAGAATCTACTTTCCAAGCATTTTTCTTGATTCTGTAGATCTATTGATGCAAAGGAGTTCAAAGAAATAAGACTGAGTAACGATTTTTTATTACATTTGTCTTCAAAGGGTAATTTCCGAAACAGTACTTGGGAAAACATTATTTAATGATTCCTCATTAATACTGACCTGTCTGTGAGGAGCCCATCCTATGGAATGTGCTACTTACTCAGGTACAGATTTACTTCCATATTCCTAATGATTTTTTTTGCAGTCCAAAATCAATGCTAATGTCACATGATGGACTTAAAAAATGACTGTGAGCTATATTAGAAGAGCTAATGAATGGAACTTAATATAGTAAAATAATGTAAAAAGAGAAGAGATTTCTGAAAATTGTTTTTAGTACGTGGTCATTAATATGTTAAGGCATGTACAAAAATGCATTAAAGGATCAGGAATATATTCCTGCAGGTACTTAGAACCTAATAAATAATGAATGTGATGATTAACTACATGGGCAGAAGTACAGCACATTACTAAGAAAAAGACTACATAAAACTTGTCTCTTGAATGGGTGAGCACCGTTGCTTTTAATATATAAAAACAATTGAACAGACTCACTTGTGTGCAAAGAGAAAACAAAAGAAGCAGGTGGCTTGAATTAACATTGTACTTTCAAATGACACAGATTTAAATATTGCTAAGAGCAATCAGGGTGCATGGAGCTGGGCGGAAGGGCAGCAGAACAAGGTGTGCAGAGCACGACGGCACCATTCAATGCTGTTTAAGCAGCCAGAGAGGTTTATGCAGGCCTAGAGAGCTGAAGTAGGACCACCACCAGGGCTTCTCCCTGACCTGCTGTGACCCTCCCCGAGCCTGTGCATGTTGAGCATGAGGGTCAAACAGTTCCAGTGGGTCATACTGGTCATTCATGCCTTCCATGGGCTGGCGGAGAAGTTTGTTAGGCCAAACCTCAACGGGTCTAAGGACAAAGTCGACTCGTCCAGCCCGTTTCATCTTGATGGGAAGGGTGACCCTTTTCATCACCCTGGTATAGCCCATGGCTTGGGCAGTGATTACATACGTCCCTGGAGGCAGGAGTCGCCAGTAGTCTCCATCAGCAGCTTTGGAAAGGCAAAGACACAAGAAGACAGAGTTTAGTTGGTGTTCCATCCTTTACAGATACATACTCATACTCGTGTATACTCGTGAATACATACATACACATATACACAAACATTTAGGGAGCAGGTTTTTAAAGGATTTTAGAAACAAGTTGACACAAATTTTGGAAAAAAGTTCAGACTGAAACATTTGAAGGACAAAAATATACTCTGCCTTTGAAAGTCTGGCATTTGGGAACTTAGGGAGTAAAATTCACATACAAAATTTCAGTAACTGGGAAGCTTTCCTTGCTGCTTGCCTATGGGCACAAGGAATAACTCCAAAGAAATAACATGAGTTAAAAACTACATGAAACTTAAGAAAGTGAAAGCAGAATCCAAGCTGCAATATACACATAAATATAGCATGTCAAAAGAGGTAAGAAATCCCTCTTTTTATTATATTACATTCTACTACTTTACAGATGTTATAGTGCATAAGACCATGCAGTCAGAGCTGCAGATGGTATAAATTGCCATTAGTATAAAATGAGTGTAAATTTCCTCCAGCTGAAGGTTAGGCCCCGCAGGCAAAAAGCAGGGAGTTTTAAAATGCAATATTTATTCTCCATTTTGTATTCCCTTTATTTTAAATGTTATGTTTCTTAACTCAGTTAATGCTGTATTAATGTTATTTTCCCATGGAATTTTCAGTCCTTTTTTTTGACACTGAAATTTAAAGATGTTTTAATCCTGTAACATTTTTAACCCCACCTAACACAAGTACAAATGCTCCATTTTACTTCAGTATAAACATATTTTTTATTCAACCCTTAATTCTTTAAATGTCCATTGCCAATGTAAAGCCATCACCTGGGAAGAGACCCTAATTCATGCCAGAATCTCCCATCAATTTAAAGAATATGCATAATCTCCACTATTGCATCCTTTCTGATGTTAAAGTGTGTGTTTTTTTTTTTAACTTGTGATTTTTTTATTTTTTTTTTCTTTTTTCCCAAAAGCTGGAAAGCATCCACTACATAATAAGTTATCATAGCTTTCCAAATTGATTCAACTATCGTCATAAAAAATGTTACCATTCATGTCTTCTGTTCTGCACTCCTATGGCCTATCCTGTCCCATTGAAATCAATAAAAAAATGAAAGTATTTATTCCAGTGCTCAGAACTTTAGGACTGTGAAAATTAGCAGTTGCACACACCTCGATATGTAGTTATCAGCTGGTGACGTTGAACATAATTCAAAATTCTATGTTCTTCTGCATTTGATATAAACATTGTTCACAGATTGCTTATATTTATACTGGTTTTCACATGGAAAAAGTTTGCTTGCCTTGCAAACACAGTAATTATTCCAGCTGCTAAAGACACTGCAGATCCTACTATACATTCTATATCTCATGCTGAGAATGTCTCATCTATTTTCCATGAATACAAGATGGACAGAGTAGTCTTGGCCTCCCAGCAGGGATATTGCTATATTCCTCCAGACATGAACTGTGTACTTCTAGGTGGATTTCTGAATTTCTCTAATATTCATTCTTTTTGATGGCTGGCTGACAGCTTCGTGTGGAAGTTTTAACTGCAAGGACTGTGTCATCCCAGAGATATGACAGACTCAACAGTCAGTTTGATGTTTGCTCTCTCTTACTTTTCTCAAAACAAACTCACAGCTGAGCCTTGACTTCTCAATAAGGTGACATTTCCATCAGATGTGACAAGAGTTCACAGGTTCACTTCTCAGCGCTTTCACTCTGCCCCAGGAAAAAATCTGAAATAAAAATATTACCTGTGGTGATATCATGCTGGATGCCTCTGACTGAAATTCTAGCATTTTTAATTGGGTTGCCAAATTTATCAGACACAATTCCTTTTATTCCCCGATGAACCTGGAAAAGCAAAGCAAGGATAGATAAGAGTCATTGATCATAGCACTACATCTGAATATTCTACCTGTGTTGAGAGGAAACAACTTTTGAGAGGTTTGATCCATTACAGAGGATCTTGGGTGCTAATAACTCTTTCTACACTGAGATCTCAAAAGCAGCAATATCTTCTTGGAGAGAGCTGATGAAAAGGGAGAACTGAACAAGCACTTTCCCAGGCTAGGCATGTTGCTGTGCATTGCAATGAGGATCCCTCCACTGCGCAGATAAGTAGCATCTCATGATACAACTTCAGCACTTAGAAACTGTTGCTGATTGCCTATCCTAGACCCAGGACTAGAAAGAAATGAAAAGTTAAAGCTGTAAAAAGCAATCTGATGCTCTACACACAGTGTAAAGGGATCATTGCTGCAATGAGCGGAATCAAATCAGCATAGAGCAGTGGCCCTTTACTCAAAGTGCAGCATTAAAAGATGTGAGAAGTAAATCAAAATCATGCATAATTCTTAGCTTTAAGACAATAACACACATAAACAATACACTGCCATGCTGGCAGCAGAATCAGTTAATGAAGTTTTACAAAGAAACCAGGTGTTTTTTGTTAGTTGAAATAGGTAGTTTTCATTTTCTTCCACTTCTTCCTAAGGGATCTCAAAGTGCTTAAAGAACCAAAACTGCACAACTGTCTTGTGGTAGACATAATTTTACTATTTTAGAGTAAAAACATACAAATAAAATAATAACATGAATTCTAAGTTAAGGAGAAATCAGAAGAAGAATAAATATTTGTAATGTTATATTTATCTCTGTATTAATATTATTAAATATGTAATCCTTTGTGCAATCCTGATATCCTATGCAATTCTTAATGCAATATTTTAAAATCATTTTCAACACGGGTTTATGAATATTAATCAATATATAACACTGAATACAGTTACAGAATTTTAATATTTTTATGTCATATGAGCGAATAAGAGTATTTCAGGAAAATTTTAAGCCACTTTGGACTCATCATCTCCGTGCTGCCTACACATCACTACATGTCAGACTGTCATGATAGCAGTGTGTACAATATCCTTCTTCTCTTCTCTACAAGCACAGCTGCTTGAGTTGATGAGAAATGTGTTTGGTGACAAAATAAAGAGCAATGTGAATTCTGTCAAACGAAGAGGTGCAAAAAAAGCTCACTTTATGTAAGGATCTTTCTTTTGGAGCTTTCAAAAATGGAAATTTTTCTGCTGGAAACTCTATATGAGCTTTGTAATTGAAAAGTGATTCTACTTCTGTTTTTCCTGTGAATTGTTATGATTAACTTGTGCTGTTCTTCTTTACTTATTTTTCTTCCTGACTTTAAAGAGCAAAGCATCAAAGCAGTGAAAAAAATAAAGTGGAAAATAGATATGTTTAAAAACAAGCAGTTGAACATCTGACTTTATGGTAACTTTTTCATACTAAGCTTTTAAAATAATTAGCATTGTCAAATGACAGCAGGCTTTTATTTAAGGTGATATTCTACTGTCATTTTAATGTAGCCTTTCCATACTGAGTGGAGCAATGCACTGATGGATTTAGGAATGACTCAGTCTAAGGACTTAAAAACTGTCCCTTAAAAAAGATTATGATGAAGAACTGCAATTTACTTTTCAGCATTGAACTTGAGGATTTATCATATGGATAGTGGGTAAATCTGGTCAGAAGAGTAATCTCTGAGCCAAATTGAATTTACACTGTAGACATACTCAAAGTAGTATGACCTCATCCAACTTCAGTAATAATTTTGCAATTACAACATGAGAGGATAAAAATGACAAATATGAAATTTGTTTAATGATGTTGATTTGGTTTGCTTTATTAAATACACTGTTTTTGGGTTTGCCTCAGGTCTGTGCCATGTAGTTTTCAGAGTGTTTTTTGGTGCAACTTCCAATGGGGAGAAGAGATGAGTGTTTATGAAAATGAGTACTACTTCAGTGTGTTAAGCCAAGGAGATTTGTACAACACCAACCAGCCTGGTATGTATCAGAATAAGAAAAGTTAGAATTGGTTATGGCAGACTTAATCCTTATCGGGAGTAATTCAGTCATCCTTATCTGCAAAGTTGTTTTGCTTACTGTCCTGCATTTACTCAAAAAGCTTTTCCGGCACAGACTTCTACAGTATCTCACACTATAAAAATCTTTACATCTTGAAGGCTTCAACTGCAATATATATGGATTTAACCCAGCTCCATTTGGATTCACTAAAACTCATTTTCATCAGACAGCTGTAAAATGAAATGAGTTTGGTGGTCTGTACTGTAGACTTTATTGAATGATGATACTTACCACAAGTAGCAAGAGGTTGCTTAGAAAGGCAATAAAGACACTCCTAACTATTTTAAATTACTGTGTACTCTATCAAAATAAGGCATGACAGAAATCTAATCTACTAATGGCTGAGAGAAAGAGGAGCAACTTCTGTTTCTGTGCTCACTTACTTATTGTCAATGAGGTATTTGTTTTTGCTGAGCTCAAGCTTATTATTAAAAATGACTTTCTAATGGCTTGCTTTAATGCTCACAGACATACAGTTGTCCCTTCAGAAAATGAGGCCTCAAACATTTTAAACTGTTTTATCTAGAAATTGAGCTTAGAAGTGTGGAAACAATGTTTCTAGCAAGTTACTAAGAACCTCCCCATTTCAACTGAGTCTGTATCTCCTGTTGCTGTGCAGCGGAGTTTGGCCGTGAGCACAGAATATTACAGTGAAAAAGCTCCAAGAAGCTTTCTGGAAAACAGATCTTGGTTTATTCTTCAGGAGAAAGGCTGATTTGTATTTTTCTACATGTATTTTTTTTTTCTTGGCATTAAAGTTAGAAAGTTGATTTATAACATTGAAAGTATTTAGATACAATTCCCTTTTTCATTGTTTTAAATTTCTCTATTTTCATCATTCCTGAAAGACAAGGCAAATATTATCTGAATGCTCTGTCAGACAAGTGGAGGCCCTGGGCTGCAGGTGGAATGTGATGACTGATTTAGTGCTGTCTCAATGATAACTAACCAGGAAAACAGTAATGGGAGAAATATTGACAAAGAAAATAAGAAGAAAACCATAAGCATTAAGGTCTGAAAATGTAGAGTCATACCATCTCCATGTAGTTCAGAAGGGCATCTCTGTTTTCATGCCAGATTGTAAACAGTTCTTCTTCCAATGGAAATTTTTCACATCCTACCTCCACAGTAACTTCAAAGCAATTTGTATGAAGATAATTAAAATCTGCCATACCTGCAGGTTCAGAAGGAAAAAGAAGAGATAAAGAAGAACCCATTTAACTCCAAACTGGAACTTTGCTGTTGCAGTTGGATGAATGCAATGGCCAATACTTATAAATTATCCAACAAATTCAGAATGCTAGAACTTGTTTCAGCTGCAAATTAACTAATGACTGTAACACTGCTTTCCAGTGAAAAAACATCATTTCAAGTATTGCACACCTGGCCAAGAAGCAGCAATAGAAAGATATGAAACGGAAACGGCTGGAAACTGCAGCACAGGAAGTTCCGCACAAATGTGCGCAGGAACTTCTTTACAGTGAGGTGACGGAGCACTGGAACAGGCTGCCCAGGGAGGTGGTGGAGTCTCCTTCTCTGGAGATGTTCAAGACCTGCCTGGATGCCTACCTGTGTGACCTGCTGTAGGGAACCTGCTTTGGCAGGGGGGTTGGACTCCATGATCTCTGGAGGTCCCTTCCAACCCCTACGATTCTGTGATTCTGTGAAGAATTGGCTAATCACATTAATTGGATAACCAGCCATATTAGATATAATTGCCAAAGCTCATCAGGATATACATGACCATTTGCTATTAGAATATTTGGAAATGTTTCTGCACAAATGGCACTGGATATAATTTTCAGAAGAATGGAAGTCTAAGATATTTAAACTTGATTCTCACTCATGCCTCACATCTTTCTGAATGCCCAGTTTCAACACAATAGTTTTAAGAACTGTCCAAGTTCAATTTTAAGACATAATTGAAGTGCCTCTGAAAATGTTATGAATACTAGTAACTCATCCATTAGATACTGAAAAAAAAATGAACAATACTATTGAGGAAATAAAATTACCAACTTAAGCACAAATTAATGGGAAGTTTGTTTCTGCTGTTGTTTTTCATTTAAAAAAAAAAAGTTTTTTTAAACAAATTGAAAAAGCAATACATTCAGAAAGAATACAAATACAAAAAATGAAATAAAACCTATGGTACTACGGTATGACAGCACAGCATTAAGCATTTATTTCTACTTTTCAGATTTTAAAAATAGAAGGATCTTATATACAATAACAAACATGACTTGTATAGCTTGTTAATTTTTCTGGGTTTTATCAGGCTTAATTATGTCCCTTGGCAGCTGGAAATAAGTGCTACCAACATACATATCACTATTTTAATCCCTTACAGATAAGTTTTTGCAAGGATCAGACTAAAATAAACTGAAATGAATAAAATTATTTCTGTCAAACCCTTGTATCTCATAAAGGTCGCATAGAGGTTTTACCTCACTTGAAATGATGGTAAAGTGGTTTTACCTCCAGTGAAGCTGTACCACTCAGCACCATTTATAATACCTCCACGTTTTACAAAATTTCCACCACAGCGATGTTCCGATCGGTCTGAGATGACTGGATGTGCATCAGCATAGGCTTTTGCCAGCATTTTAAACATCTGAAAAAAATGGTGTGAAATAAACAGTAAACATGTTAGCCTTCAGTCATGGCTATTGCTGCTAGAAACTCTTGTTGTTGTTGAGCCCAGACAGTGAGCAACTCTGAGTCCTTGAGGCTGATGGAGAGGAAGAACCTCTGTGCAAGGATGTTCTGTCAGAAAGCTTTCACTTGCTTTCTTCTCTAATGTGCTTCTCTGCAATCCAATTTATTTAGCCAATACTAAATACCAGTTGATTTTATAACACTTGGCTTTAACCTGTCTTCAGCAGACATAGAAGTTTGTTTGGTCGGTCTAAATCCCAGGTTTAATAGCTGAAATCATGTCTCTCCATTATGTTCTAACTGTTGCTATTTTTACTCCTTCAGAAACACCTACACCAGCCTCAGCCCAACCAGATCTTTGCATCAGCTGCTGGTGATTAAAATAGACAGTGTCAATTTGGTTTGCACTTATCCTTCTCACAGGACAACCTGCCAGTTTGATCTCAATGACAGTTGCTTCTCCATGGGGCAGAAAGCATTCCTAAAAATGGAAAGATAGGATGTAGAGATGGAGTATGTCACCACCGATCTCTTAAGTGTGTTAATAGTGATGAAGAACAGCTGAGTCACCATCCAGAAATGAAAAGTGATGAGTACATGAAGTGAAGACAGAAGAAGAAGTGATCTGGGGGAGCCATTTCTTTGAGTCAGTTTTCTGTCACTTTTTCTTCAATGTTTATTCCAAATTTTAACACGTATACTCCCATCATTTATTTGATTCAAATCTCATCTATAAAAATTACAATTCCAGATTTCAGCCCTGAAATGACAGCAATTGTAAGAAGCCACCAGATCAGATCAGCATTACAGGTTGCACTGCACAGTTCTTAAGACAACATGCAAGGAATTGGGTGTCTAAAATCTTAGGTCACTTCCAACCCAAACCATTCTAGGATTCTGTGATTCCATGTAAAAAAAAATTTGCCAAAATCTTTCTGATGGCCAGAATAGCTGTGACTGGCCACAGACCTCAAAATAATTCCATGTTTATACAGAAGAGTGCATTATATAAAAGAGCATAAAGTGAGATAATGAAGAGGAATTTTGGAAGCATGATGTTCAGTTGCTAGAACAGGGTACATGCTGTTACATGCCAATACTGATCCCACTGATTGACACAGGTTGGGTTTTTTGAGTGGGAGAAAGGGAGAGTTTCCATTCTGCAAAGGGAGTGAACTTGACTCCATTTTAGTGCATATGTTACTGGTCACAGGGATCAGTGCCACTTCTGTATCACAAAGCAACAACAGTCTGCTGGAAACAGCAGGCAAAAAAAAAAAAAGGAAGGTTCTGGATTAGGTTAGCCCAAATAGATGCAAGAAAGTGACATAAGGGCATGGGTCAGTTTTGAGACTCAGCAGCTAGAAGCCTAGCCAGTAATGCAGGTTAAAGAGGCTTGAAATCTGCCACTGCCAGGAGGATCTCCATACTGCCACACATATACTATGAGAGACATACAGAAATGGCAACATCCAGGAGCTTTTGGAGATCTAGTTTGAATGTGCTTTGCAGAATTTGACTTTTGAAATTCTGAACATTATCTGTACAGCAGCATTTCACCCAGGGCTGCAGCCAAGGGTGCAAATTTGCCTCTCTTCCCCTTGCATGGTGCATTTGGTAAATCACTGCTCAGAACAAGGGATACAGCTAACATATAGCAGCTAAAACATGCTGCAATACTTCAGGTTGCCAGTTGCCCAGAAGCAGCAGCAGCAGATGACATTAGTTAAATGCAGGTCACTTCACTAGTACACATTTTATAACTTCCTGAGCAAAAGCCAAGTGATGCTGGTAGCATTATTAAGGTTCCTGAGCTGACTATTGAAAAGTTGGTTTAAATGGAGGACATCCCTAACCCACCCCTATATGTTCTAAACTTCCAACCTTGTAATTAGTTTCCCAAGCTTTGCTGATACTGACTATGAAGCCACCTCAGCATGAGGTTCTGTGTCTTACAAACCAGGAATCTATGTCTCTCAAACCAAGGATACAATTAGGGCTTACTCCATCCCAAAGGATGGATCCTTTCGTGTTATGTTACATTATGAATCATTTCATTCAAAACATCCATGCTGTCTCTGAATGGAGATGATGGAGGGACAGTTGTCCTTCATTCCCACGTCTGAACTGCTGGATGAGGAGTGAGTGGCCACAATCTTGCAACATCTCTGTGCTAACTGGGACTCCTTTAGCTAAATCATTGTTATGCACACACAGCCAGTACACTTCATGCTGCTCAGAAGAAATGAATTGATATGGAAAGTGTTAAGTAGTGATAAATATTTAATAGTTGCTGATGAGAACTGTCACTTTAGAAGAGATTCATCCCAGAGATGTGCTCAAAGATAAGGGATACCTCTAGTCAAACACCAACTTCTGATGATTTTCAATTGCTGTAAGCTGGGTAAGGAACCACATTTACTTAAGAGGCCAGGGACACTTTTAGCATACACTAGAAGGATAAAGAGCTGACTCTTCTCCTAGTGGGCTTGTCAGCAATGAATACTAGATTGAGGAAATCAAAGGGAAATAGGAAAGACAGCAAAAAATTTTACAGAAGATTTACAGTGATTCCCAGCTGAGGAACCTGAGAGGGGAAAATCATTCCTATTCTTCTGGAATAAATGTTACGAGGCTGCCACCATATGGTAGGCAGCCTTTTTGTTACGACAGATTTCAACGAGAAATAACACTTCTGATGAGGATTGCTTCTATTATTCTAGGAAAACAGTGGTAAAAATAGCAGGGCTTTCACCCATTATATAGTGATATCCTTAATTTTCTTAACCTGGGTCTCCTGAAAGCTTGTTTGGCCTCACAAAACATGAGTAAATTTGTACACATCAATCTGATAGCTATCTTTTAGAGAACATTCAGTATTCAGTAATTGTATGAATTACTATGAATTACTTAATGCATAAACTTTTTTTTTTTTTTTTTTTTTTTTTGGGGGGGGGGAATACCTCCTATTTATTTCCATGGGAACTACAACAGATACAAAGAGCTAAATAGCACTACTTGATAGAGAAAATTCAAATTCTGAATATGGAAACCATATCAATATACCTACTGTACAAAAATAATCTTACCTTCTCATCAGGTGTAGGGGAGAACTCTTTTTCTTCCATAGGATGCCTTGAATAGTCATAAGGATAAGTCACAACCAGTTCACCCCCATGGAGGCTGGCAGAGAGAACAAACGGGATGGACCTCATCCACTTCATGACTGCTTTAGTCTCAGGTGCCACCTGAAAACCAGGAGGAAAAATAGCCATGACTGATTTTTCAGCTCTGGAGAGATTTGGTTTTTAGCAGGATAAAGTCCAGTGAAGAAGAGTGTGTCAAGAAGGAGAACGATGAGGCTCTTCAGCTCTTCCATTCCAATGATTAATGGGGGAAAAGTGTCAGTTTGCTCCAGGGAACAGATCATAGAAACATAGGATTTCTGAGCTGGAAAGAACCCTTAATGATCATCTAGCCCTACTCCCCTGAAATGAACAGAGGCACCTACAGCTAGATAATTGCACAGAGCCCTGTCCCGCCTGACCTTGAATATCTTCAAGGCAGAGCATCCATAACCTCTATGGGCAACCTGTTCCAGTGCCTCGCTGCCCTTACTATAAAAAATTGATTAGATTACACGTACTGTTTTTATATCCCTATAAATCAGAAGCAAACACTGTGGAAAAACTAATGAAAAAAACCCAAACCACCACCACCAACAACAAAAACCCAAACAACAACCAAAAACAAAAAAACAGGAACTTTGACAAAGAATACTTTTTCACTGCAGTGACATTTTCAGCAATTCAAAGTGATGATGGCATTATTTTTCGCGGTGCTTTACTATTATTTGCAAACTAGATGTCTTTTCTAATTACATTTCTGAAACAGCAGGACTGACTTTGGATGGAATACAAGGACCAATTTGTAACGCTCAGCATTTGTTGCAAATAACATCTCATATATTAACCTTAGCTCTGCAAATAAAAGGAAAAGAAAAGATATAATACACAGCAACAACTGCAGTTCACTTGCAGGGAACTATTGCAAATAGGTCACAAAATTCGTCTTTCTGGCAGTGTATGTGAGGTGATAGCTGCCGGGGAGTGGGGATCGGACATCGCAGACGCGGGGTTCCGTCCTGCTCCGTTCTGCGGAGCGGTTTCACGGACCCAGCTTCGGCATTGGCGAATTCTTCGGGCTAACAGTGTCACCTGGTGGCTGGTCCTTGCAAGCCCAGACACCAGTCGGTGCTCTTGGAGGTGAGGCTGTTTTGTTTGCAACTTGCGAGGATATCAGGGAAAAAGAACGTCGTCGATCCATACTCTGCTTTGCACAAGTGCAGATATGCAAGTTTAAGTATATTAAAAAAAAAAAAAAAAAAAAAAAAAGTGCAAGGTTTGTTATGCTAGATTTACTTCAGTGTTTCTGCAGGGCTGCCAACACTGCATGTCACCTTTTGCATTGATTCCATCCACTCTGGGGAAATCTTGCAATCAGGGTCCTGGAGGGGCTAATATCCAGTGCTTGTGAGGCTAAGTGCCTCCAATGGTTGTGCTATATAGCTCAAAACACAGTAGGTACAGAACTTAAATAAATAACACCCTAAAGACAGAAACATTTACTGCAACAGTAATTCCTGTTTTCTTCACATCAGTCCCTGCGCAGATGTAACTTTTGGATGAGGCACATCTAAATGGATATTCTGGTATATCGACCAGGCACACTAGGAAATCACACTTTTCTACCTCTACTCTCTTCATACATCCACTCACAGCCTTACATTTATCTGCATACGATTTGGATGCATTAGCTGCGCTGTTTGAAAAGTCTGTACCTTGTATTTGGGAAGCAGTAGGAACATGAGGGCCATGACACTGCTGCAAGGTAAATCACTGATGGGCAGATGGTTGGATTTGATTATCTTAGTGGTCTTTTCCAATCTTTATGATTCTATAATTCTATAATTTTATGATTAAGAAATGTGTGAGTTGCAGCTAACATACGGACACAAGCTAGGTTGCACCACCTGTCCACTACCAGCAGCACTCTGCACACTGGAAACCTAAATCAGGCTTTTTGTTTAATTGTGAAGATTAGTTCCCAGAAAGGGCATGGCCTGAAAAAACGTTCTGAAAGTCAGATAGAGAGCACTCCAGAAGGAAAGGGTACTCCCTGCCCCACGTGCAGCTGCCCAGCCAGCAAGGACATGCCCGATGCCAGAAGCAGCCATACTTTCAAACAGTGCTCTTAGGTCTTGATAAGATTTTAGCTGCTTCTGTCATTCCGTGGGCAAGGGTAAAATTAGAATTTTGACTCAGAGAGCTCTGATATTCTGCTCTCTTCTGCTTAGCTGACTTATTCACTAGATACCTGCATAAGCTGCAAGGCACTGCTGAGTCACATAGCCAGTGTCTTGTTGGACCAAACGTTGCGGAAAAAAACAGTAATTTCACTGTCATTGTTTTTATCCTAATAGCATTTCAGCAACTTTGTGATCCATGATTAAGGCTTTGAAATGTGTCCACCCTTTTTATCTTGGTTCAGATCCTTTGAATGATATCAGACTCTGTCTCACTCTGGCCTTTGACTGTTCATAGACTTTTACTATAATGTGGATTCTGTGTTTGTTTTTCATTTTTTTCACCAAGACTCTTGTTTCTCAGTCAGAGGAAATCAATCTTAAGGTATCCATCTCACAAGAACAATTCGGGATATAATTAGAAAACAGCTAAATTATTTGGGCATAACTACAGTGAATGGGCATTACCTTTTAAAACAGGAATCTCATTTTTATCAATTATACTGCAATTAGTTACTGTCTCCATAGCTTTCAAAGGCTTTTTTTCCCCCTCTTTTAGAAACAACAAGGTTCATTTTTCAAAATGCTGTGCCAGCCTTCACTGGCACAGACCTCCAAATTCTGTTAGAGTCAAGCCAATTTAACTGGATTCACTTCAAATGAAGCCCAAAGTCTCTCAGACCAAGCATTCAGACCCCTTAGTTCAATAATTTAAAATGCCAGGGAACAAAAACCACTGTACAGTAAGGTCTGGAGGGAAGTCAGAGCTCTCCTGAGATTATGAGATTGGCTGGGACCACTTACAATGTCCTGCAATACCCACATAATTACTTTAATAAGGCAGGTAATAAACACTATTAAGTAAATGAAAGCTGAGACACTGGTGTTGAAATGCATGATCTAACGCTTTTGCATAGACAAAGCTGACTTCTGTAGGAGCCATGGGTTTGTTTGCCTGACAGAATTGAAACTCCCTATGGGAAAGGTGCTTTGGCTGCCCTTTAACTGCCACCGGTGGAGGAGAGGAACCCAAGCTGGTGAGACTGCTTACACTTATGTTTCTGAACCATGCATAACTACAGTTATTAAGGAGATTTTGTGGTGCCATTCAGACCACAGACAAATTAGTTCTCTCCTTTGTTCTGCAAAGCACAAGGTTTTGGAGATGCTTTTGGTATTGTTTAGGTCAGAAAACATTTTGGGATCAAGGAAGCACCTAGAGGTCCCCTGAGTCCTTTGGTAGTATGAAGAATGAATCACTGAATCATCACCTTGTTTCTAATTCATTTTCCTAAGCAAGGACTAGCCTTTAGGAGAAGGGCCATGTTTATACCCCAGGGCTTGTTCCCACTAAGGTAGTCATTAGACAGAGGGTGGTTTGGTGCCAAGGTTTCCCAGTTCCTTGTTTGTAGCGCAGACACATGGGAGTGACCAGGGGCAGAACTGGCCACAGCAGTAGAGGAATCTGTGGGAGAAATGTTAGCCTGTCTCCAACTAGCCCTCTATAAACTGCTCTGATGATACACAACATGTAAGAAAGCTGAACAGGTGGTTGTAAAAATAACTGCAGGAGGCTGCCTACACTAACTATCCCAAAGAGTAGCAGAGTGATCAGGACAGACGTAGAACTCAGAGGTGGAATCAAGGAGGTCAGAGAACAAAGATCCGGACAGTTATGAGGACTCTAGGCTGCATATGGGATAAGCTGACGGTGGACTATCACAAAGAGGGATGAAGGTCATCTTTTACTTTCCTTAGGTGTGCTACAGCCTTCAGCCCTGCACCTCTGGATGCAGTGAGACAGAGTGGCTCGTAACTGGAGGCAGATCTCCATTCCTTCCCCAGAGTCTGCTTCCCACTCACTACATCCAGTCTGAAAGGACAAAACCAGCCTTCTTGGATACCTCAAAGGAAAAGTAAAAGCATTTTCAATTAATTTTTCAAATGTGTCAGATGATTCTGTATCCTGCCTGCTCAGGGGACTTGTATAGACCATGAAAGAGCTCCTAAGGCAGGGAACAAATCCTTGCAAGCATCTCCCTCCAGGGAAGCACACATATAGATATGGATCAAAAAGAAGTGCATTTGCATGGAGTAGCCAACTTAGACAAGATTGAGAACAAGGCAATGTTTGCTCTCAAACCAGGAACCCAGCAAGAAGTTCTCACCAAGAGTCAGCTTCGGCAAGTGGGCTTAAAGTAGCATAGCTACTTCCAATAAGCTAGACATATATATTTATAATGACTGTTGTGATATAACATTGTTATTACTCAGCATGTTCTGGGTAATTAGTACTTTGTGCTGTAAATGCAGGCAGGTTCCCAAGTAAATGATTAATCTTGGATTGCCATTTGGGAATAGGATAACAGATATATAGAAGTGAGCTGTGCTCAGAGATTTATTGCAAAACACAGGCATTCCTAGTCAAAATTCTAGCTTTAAAGGGAGGAAAAGAAATTCCTTAAAAGAGAACACGGATGGCTCTGAGCCTAATACCTATATGACAAAGTAAATCCTTCACGAGACAAGGTAAACCATGAAAAAACTACAAAGCACAAGTGGAATGACCTGAAACAATTCCCTCTCTAGACATCTATCCTAAAATACATTTTGTCAGCTGTTTTCATTTAACCTCTGGTTCTGCTTCACATGCTCTCAACTCTTCTTTCTCATCTGAGGCTCTGTAAATTACTTGCATTTACTGTTCAGTGTTATCGGTCATTGTTCAGGAAAAAGTTGGAAATTATTATGCCTATGACCTCTTATTCTTTCAGAAATCTAGTGACATGTGCTGGGATCTGTACAATAACATGCATAAAGTAGAATAAACTTCTTGATATGACTTACGTTGAAAATCAGTGATCTGATAGAAAGTGCACCATTAAGTTCCTCATAGCTTTGCATCATCACATCTATATTAGGCTGAGGAAGTGAGGTGCTTTCATCCACGTGTCAATACTGTGAAATGGGTTACCAAAACACTGGGGGAGCATTAGAGATTTCTTTGGGATATAGTACAGCCCTTTTATGAGAACATCTATAGAAAAGTAGAAATTCACAGAGTGCTGTCTCAGATCTTTTGCTAACACTGAAAAAGGCTGCTGAAACAATCCTGTTCCCCATGGGAACTCTGGGTATCACTTAGTGAAGATAAGTGCAAGTTCTTGCAGTGGAGTTTCCCGTTCTGCTCTCTGAGTCTAGAGGTGGCAGCAACTCTCCATTCCAACACCACTGCTGCCCGACTGGATTTTCCCATTGCTCCAGCTGCTTGTAGTCATTTATAACCACTGTTTTTGAGGAAAGCATATGCCACATGACTTCACACTAAGCCTTTTTGTGGTTTCCAAGTCAGAAACCACAGCTGCATCAAACCTGTGCAGAGCTTAATGCAATGAGATCCGAGTCTGACAATCACAGAATTGTTGGTTTTGGCAGGGACCTCTGGAGACCACCTAAAACTGGACAGAATACTCCAGATGGGGCCTCTCCAGGGCACAGTAGAGGAGGAGGATCACATTCCCCTACCTGCTGGCCACGTTTTTTTTAATGCAACCCACAATATAAAAATGCATAAAAAAGCTTTTCAACATAGAATCATAGAATCATAGGATGGCCTGGGTTGAAAAGGACCAAAATGATCATCCAGTTTCAACCCCCCGCTACGTGCAGGGTCACCAACCACCAGACCAGGCTGCACAGAGCCACATCCAGCCTGGCCTTGAATGCCTCTGGGGATGGGGCATCCACAACCTCCTTGGGCAACCTGTTCCAGTGTGTCACCACCCTCTGTGTGAAAAACTTCCTCCTGATATCTAACATAAACCTCTCCTGTCTCAGTTTAAAACCATTCCCCCTTGTGTTTCTTTGACCTTACTGCTCAAGTCAACCACAATTCAGTTTGATAATCTCTTTCTAATGAAATTAGAGTGCTTGAACAACATTAAGGGAGGCAATGATAAATGAAAAACAGAACAAAAACATGGTACCTCAGTTTAAAAAACTAACAGTGAATTGATACCTGTTATGATTCTTAGTTTATAATAGCATCATACAAATTATCAACAAATTTTCCCAGTGACACCTGCCTCTTTGGCCAGACCTACACCAGGATTTTTCATGGCAATTCTGAACATGTTTAGTCCGATATATAAAATCTTATTACTAGAGAATAACCTAAGGCCAAGCAATCTCAGGTTCTTAATTTCTGAGCTGCTCTGTAGTATATGAAATGTATAAAATCTGTAATTCATACCTTACCCCACCAGTAGGATTGTGGAATGGGGATATGGTCCAGGCGGGCCCCACGAATCCCAGCTCTTCTATAAGCTTCTGAAGTCAGATCAGGGAAATTTCTGTTCAGGTCCAAGTTCTGAGCTGTCTGCCGGCCAATCACCCATCCATTGTAACCAGCACCCTAAGATGTAACACGGAAGCCCAGTTCAGTATAACTTAGTGGGAAAAGGAGGTGTTTAAAATTTCATTTTATAATTAGCAATGTTATGTTTTAAAATACATCAGAGATAAGCTAAAAATGTATATGCAGTCAGAAAAAGCCATAGTTATTAATCATTCCTTATCCCCGAGATTGCCCTTACTAGCATATGAAAGCTATTTCACTCACCAGTGATGTGACTCATGAGAGGAGCACAGCAGTTTCTTACTCAGCACAGAACAACATGCAGAGTGGGTTAGAAGAGAAGAAAAGAAAAACAAAATTACAGCTCTTGCTCAAAGAAAAGTTCAGGCAGTATGCAATACCCCCAGTATCATTTTAATGGGTAAAGCTCACCACTTGAGCAACTCAAAAAAAGGAAATTCCTGTTTTCATGTTTCATGCCAATTATGCTATTGATAGAAGTGAGGTAAAAAGAAGAATGCTAGGTAACATCTGTCAGAAGTGTTGCTTTCATACATCTCCTTCAGACATCAGCTGATCTCTGAAAGCTGGCATCTTTATGAAAGCTTGAAAGTACAGACCATATTACCATTTTATTACATCTGTTAGTCTACAAGAGGAATAACGTCTATTCCACAGTATTAAATTATGTTTCCTTACTTACAAATTAGTTTAAAAGTCATTAAAGTGAGTCAGTGGGCATCCTGTTCTAGAACTGATAACAGAGACTGTGAAATGTGTGAAAAAGTAGCACAGTCATTCCCACATCAATGCATGCAGGGAGGAAAAATGGCAAACATGGCTCTGGTTCCTTTGAAGGTCTGTTCACATTGTCTTCAGAAAGCAACCTACCCCCATAGCAGCCTGGAAGCCCAGCTGCTGGTTATTAGCACTCTGTTCCATACTTGCTGCTTCACTTAAAGTTTGTATTTTCCTAGGGGGAATTTTAGAAGCAGGAAGCACTGAACATTTATTTATAAAAAGTCTCTTACTTCTTCCGCAGCCAGTTCATACCCATCTGGGTTGAGTGAAGGCAGGAGATGAATTCTGGTGTTATTGATCAAAGTTTGGATGCGAGGGTTCCCGAGAAGATACTCTGAACACAGATACTGAGCAAGGTATATCAGCAGTTCTTTTCCCACAACTTCATTTCCATGCATATTGCCAATGTACTTAAATTCTGGCTTGACTGTGGAACATGAAGCAATGAGATGCTTTAATTTGATTATACCTGGATGGCTTCCAAAAGAAGAGTAACACAGACAGCTTATAGACGAAAGTTTTATTTACAGTAATTTAATGCATACATTGCTGTAAACAGTACACCAACTCCAGATGAATTTCTCTCCCCTACAAGTCAGTTCAGCAATGATTTAAATCACTTTCCGGATGGGTGAAACAAAATCCATACTTTCGGGATCATGTACAATAAGGGGCAATCATTGCTCTAAGCTTTTTTTTTTTTTTTTTTTGACTCATTAGTTGTGATGCTGCAAATGTCAAGCTGTAGAAAAGGGACAAAACACACCCCTGGCACTCTCACTTAGCTTGGGCTGCTACGATGCTTTGTATTGTCACACATCTTAGAAATGACCTGCAGATGTGTAATATATTACCCATGTATTTGGAACATAAATTAGGTAATGCATAAAAAATGCCTTTTAGGCTAAACAGACTTGGAATAGAACTATTAGTAACACTAAACCTCACAGTTCTCTGCAGCTATTCTCTCAGTTTCCATCCTTCATTAGAGATTAATGGAAAGTAGAAAATAGATGCACCCTTTCCTGTCTAGCCCTTTATTTTCATCTTTGATCCCATCCATTGCCTAGCACTGGACCTGGAAGGAGGGCTGGCACAGAGCTATTGTGCCAGCTTACTAAGGCTACCAAAATCACATCCTGAGAATCATGGAGCAATAGATTTAGAAGGAAATGCTAGGTGATGTGTTAAACTACCATCTTTTATCATACTATATCACACTTTTTATTTTAAAGCCTGATTCATAGGCTTTGTTTTATCCTGGCAAACAGAGTATTGCCTAAAAAAAGACACCTATCTATCCTTTTTACACAAGAGAAGAAGGACAATTGGCCAACAGATAGGAGTTTAGAACTTTGCTGTATTAATGATTTCTTCTGGGATTTTGCTGAAGTTCAAAGGCATCTCAGAATATCCTCACACCATGCAAGGAAGTGTGGCTGAGAGCAAACAAAATGAACACTAGGCTCAGCTGCCCTCTCTGCCTCCCCAGGGGCATAGCATACAGAAAACACAGAAGCTTTACCTCAGGTAATAAACACATAAATGTATTTGGATGTAGCTCTGTGCTGAGCCTACACGGATGCTGGAGAACTCTCCAAAAACTTTGCAAACTGGGCATGAATAAATAATAGTCATACCACTGTGCTCGTATACATGGCCATATATCTAGGAACAAGGAATTTAGGAAAATGCAACTGGGCAATAATTACTGCAGCAAATCATCTGCCATCACAGTAATCCGAGAATACAATGTTTTTCAATAAACACTCCTTACATTTTAAGTAGTATCCTTTTAAAGAGGATGAATAGTATGTTGGATTTCCCTTAAGCAACCCATCAACTCTGATAAAACTCACGTAGTTCATGGTGACCAGGCTTGGTTGAAAACTCAATCACAAAAAGGTCTTTTCCTTCAAAACTGCGACCTATGCTGTAAGTTGTTGCAATATGGGAGCATCTAGAAGCAGTCTTCTTCAACGTGCTCACCATTTGGGAATATGAGTGATGTTTGAACTGAATAAAAGTAGCTGGCAAGTCTGAAGGCAAATCTTCTTCAACAACTACTTCTCCTGCAAAGAAAAATTGTAAGACAGTGTTTAAAAGTTGTCATTCTCAGAGGATTACATAAATACCTGTGCTTTTCCACAAAATATATTTTTCAATAATATAATTATAGAAAATGAATCTGCAGTCAAAACCTTAATTCTATGTACTACGTCCTACACTGTTTATTTTGGCATATATTTCTTGAAAAAAAAAGAAGAAGTAATGCGTATGTACACCGACACGTACACTGTGCAAAATCCAGTTGCAATTTAGTCTTTGGCATGCTTAACGCTCTTCAGTCATAAACATACAGATTTTTCCCTTTGAATCTGATGGATCAAATTTATTTTCGATGAAATTCAGCTATTCTGAACTATCTAGGTCTTCTTCATCCAAACAAAGATCTGCTACTATTACTAATGAGATAGCTTCACTGAGCTTGTCATGTCACCACGAATTTGTGTACCTCAAACCTTCAGTTTTTAAAAAATAAAATATTTTTAGGAAATGTTTCAAATACATAGACAGCTACCCAAAATGCTGAAACAGAGGACAAGATTTATCTAAATACATATCAGTAGTCCAAGTACATAGTACTGAGCTGCTTATCTTGATCTTTGTATACAAGGGAGAGGAATGGGTACTTCTTGAGCACAGTTTAATTAAGTGATTAAAACAGGTAGAACAAAATGAATCACACCTTGCAAATGTTTATAAGTATGACAAGCTCAGAAGCGTTGTGCTGTAGGCATGTCAAGCTGACTGAGATGAGAACTTTCCAATCAAGTTGAGTAAGATGTGTCAACAGAGCCTCTTTCCTTACCTCTCAGCTTTGCCAGTGGGTCAAAACATCCTTCTTCTTCCCCAGCAAAAAAACGATCACAGTCTAAGAAGTAGGGCCAGGCCATGTCTATTGCATCAAAAGCAGAGAGGCAATTTTTTTTCAGGTTTTCACAGACATGCCTGCAAGGCTTTATAACTTTGTCCTTTTCACACTGTGGGGCCAGCACTGAGCACCCCAGGAGCCTCAGATCTGGATTGCATTCTCCTTGCAGCAAGTTGTGCAGCACGCTTATGAGAATATACTCAGAGCTGTACTCAATCACTTCTCGAGACTTCTGATCCAGGAAATTAGGATACATTGTTTGAGTATAGGTAACATCTGTACAAGAACTTAAGGAGATGTCCACGCATTTTGCTATGAAAAAGAAAGGGGAACATATGAAAAATGGCTTCTATCATCTGTTCTCTGAAGAGTTCAAGGACAATATAACAACACATTTAATGAACATTTTTCTGTTCTTATTCACAGGTAGGCCTGAGGTAGTTTGCAATACTCTCATATAAATTAGTATCTAAAACAGGAAAAAAAATGATGAGAAGTATACTTAGTCCAGAGATTGACAGTGAACGGTCTGATGCAAGTAGATGTCATTCAGGATTCAAATGGCCTTTTGATTGAGAGATGCTCCAAAAGTAACCCCTCTAGTTTATTATGTTGGTCCACAGCACAACATCAGAAGCAGATGCTGGTAGTATGACAGTAGGGGTTGAACTTTCCCACCAGTTTTCCATTAAATTTTGTTGCTGTGTGACAGATGGCAGCAGAGTGACAGAGGAGCAGTCTGACAAAATGGTGCCTGATATGGCAGTGTGTATGAAGAAGAGGTGTGCCACTGAATTCCTCCATGCAGAAAAAATGACATCCACTGACATTCACCAGCACAGGAGTGCCTGGCCAATATAGGAATTCATTTAACAAATCATATTTGGAAAATACATTGGAACCAAATATAAAATTATCAAAATCTGGTTTCCAAAGGAAAGACTATCTCATGCTCTAATATGGTAAAAACACAGAATCCTGAAAAAGGTGTGCTTATGATATGCTCTCTTCCCTGTCCTTGCCTCACAGTATGGATTCACTAATAACGTGAGATTACATTGATATTTTTTTTATTCGAGGGGAAGGTATTGGAAAAAATATCTTCTTTTTTTGCCTGGTCACCAAAATTTGACAGAGTTTAATCTCTCTGAAACTTCAGCCTCTCTGTGAAGTTTGATTGCAATTGCAATTCAGAAGTTATTCTGTGACTTGGCTTACAGACATGCAATTTAATACACTTTAAGAAATCAGGATAAGAGATGTTAGAAAGTAAAAATGCTGCTAACACCTTCAGTCAACTCAGAGGTAAAAAGGAAGTAATAAAGAGATGTCTCATCATAAAATTTCTGGATATTATAGTAGTGGACCCAGGTATTAGCATTTTTATCTTGCTAATGTCTCTAAATTGTAAAAAATGTCAGAATGGCAAAATTCTCCTCTGTATGAGACCATCTCTCCAGAAACTAGACCTACTACAGCATCCATTGTAGAAAACTTTTCAGGAAATAATGAAGAAATACTTAAGATGCTGAGATTTTCCAAGGAGAGCAAGTAAAGCCGCATCCTACCTTTCTGTGCAGTTTGGCATTGACCTGCAAATAAAGAAGACAAAAATAGCATTAGGACAGCAGCACCTATCTCACCTCACAGTAGGAATTGTCCAACCTGGAAGTCCCAATGGGTCTGCTGCATCTCCATGTACACACACAAATACAAAGATACGTATGATTCCCCAGTAGCTAGGCTTGGTCTACCCAGTAGCTGACCCCTGAATCTGCTGGTACATCAGTGGCTCAGCCACTGACGCACACACTAGTCTAACTGGTAGCGGGTCCATATCTAGGGTCTCACTGGTACAAAGACCCAAGCTCCCTGATCTCCTCAGTAGTTGGCTTAGACCTTCTGGGCTCTCAGTAGCCAAATCTGAGACCTTTTGGTTTCTCCAGTGTCCATTCCAGTTCTCAAATGCTCAGTTCCCAGACCTCTTGTCCTTTTGTCCCACTAATGTAGCTTGATGTTTACTGTTAACAATACACACAAACACACACAATCCATTTCGGTTGCTGCTCCCCAGACACAGGAGTCCCTCTGCCATGTGTTTCCTACAACAGCTGCTGGAATGTGGAGCCCCATCCACCCACATCAATAAAGAAAAGAGAGAATATCAAACAAGAAAATAATTGGAAATAGAGTTTAATAAGAAGACGGAACAGATTCAAATGAGCAGGCGTAGGACATAAGCCACCAAGAATATTGCCTAGCCAGTCTCTGGCCCAATTAAAAGAGGGAGGATTTGACAATACATACAAGTGTAGTTGTGTAAGAAACGGGGCCTAAGTTTAAAAAAGACATTGAGCTGTGCAGTCTTGACAACCTGACAACATTTCTGGACATGCTTAAAACTCTAAGTTATGTGCCTAGGAAACTTTGGAAATTTGGGAACCTGGTTTAGTCTAACATACCACAGGAGTCTTCATGTAAATACTAACAGGCTTTATAGACCTTCATCTAACAAATCTCCTGGTCCTACATAATCCTGTACATATAAATTTCTCATGGAGAAAATAAGCTTTTGCTGGTTGTAAGAGGATATACTTCTTCCCATCTGACTTGATCCTATCTCTAGATACTGCATTTTATAATCCATTTAATAGCATCTTGAAACTAATTATTTGCCTTCCAGCTACTCTCACTGGAAAGCTTTCCCAAAAGCTCACTCCTCTAATAGCTAGAAATTGCCTTTTAATTTTCTGCCTAAAAGTAGTCATGGCCAGCTTATATCCATGTATTTTTGTGCCAACATTGTCCTTCCGCTTAAATAGCTCTCTGCATTCCCTGGTGCATGCCTTCTCTCTGTGTTTATGGAGAGCAGTCAGATCCTCTTAGCTTTCTATTTACTAGGTCAAATAAACAAGCTCTTTTAATTCTGAGTAACTCTATTTGATGACCCAGGGGAGTCTTCTTTTGTTCCTGTAGCCAACGATTCTATACTGTCCTTCTCTGTTTCTGGCAACTAAAGAAAAATACTGCTACTAAAGTTGTTTTCATCAGTGCCTCATAGAAGCTAAGCCATTATGTTTGAGCTTTTCTAACACTGAAGGGTCTAGTAATATCTTGGGGAACCTATGTTGTTATTTGTTCTGTCACTTTGAATATAGACACCTAGCTTTTTGCTCAGTGAATTGAGCTTTGTTTTCTATTTTCTTTCTAAGGGAATTTCAAACTTCTCCCAGCAAATTTGTTTAAATGTAATCATGTACATATGTTCTGCTAATCAGTTGATCAGTCCTTAGCCAAAATAAAATCATTATAACAAGAACAAAATTAAGCCTGGAATTTTATGTTGGAAGCAGACTTTTAATTGGATATGAGTCTAGTTCTATATTATGAACTGTCATCGATCCACATTTCCTCATAAAATAAATGAGGGCTCAGACCAAGCAGAAACAGCCCATCTCCAACAGCAACAAATTCTAGTATCCAGCGAGCTGGAAAAAATTTTACCCATAAAAACACTTTTCCTGGCTTGGTTCATTATGCTAGTGCAATACACAATACCTGGTTCATCAATACTGCTTTCTGTCATAGGATTTTAATGTTTCCCCTGCTTTGGCATGATCCCTTACTAAGGTGAGAGCACACGTGAAAAAGCCTCAGCTCAGCCAGGTCCCACATTTTGTCTTACACGTGGGGATAATCAGAGAAGAGTTTTTTGTACAGTGCTAGGTGGGAAGGAGAAAGGAATGAACACTCAGAATCAGAGTCATTAAGGTTGGAAAACACCTCTAAGATTATCAAGTCCAACCATCAACCCATCATCACTGAGCCCACCAACTCATGTCCCTCAGTGAGATTAATACCTTTCACTACACTGAAGGGTGGTTAAGAAATGACTGCACTGTAGCTGATCTTATTATAAACTGGAGATTGTGTGCACTAGGTATAGTTCTTCATGGGGAGTAGGAATAGTCTTTCTCCAACTCTTTACATTTCCTCAAAAGTAACGTCCTTTCCCTCTTGGAAGGCTCTGTGACCTGCTACAAATGTCATTTTTGTTTGTCTCTCTGATATATGATGATCAAATAATGATACTGAGTCATACACAGTTTTCCATACCAGTATTATTGTGCAGGAGTGCTATACCCATCAGTCAGTTTCATACGTGGCACAAACATATTTTCAATGGTATCCCAATATTGCGCTTATTCAGCTGGAGCAGAAAGGCATTCTGGCAACAAGATGGACTAAGTAGAGGAAACCAAAGGGAAATGGCAGCCAGGCATGGTCTGGGCATGGTGCTGCTGCTGCTTACCCCTGCTTTGGCTCTATGAACAGCCTTACTGCTTTTAGCAGATGCTGCTTTCTGCCCAGCTGGCCAGAGAGAAAGGTGCTGCAAAGGAGTGGATATCTGATGGAACAGATGTGTAAAACTCTGCTAAGTCGTATCCTGCAGCTGGGTTCATGAGAGGTCTGAATCCTTTTGTGAGCAGGAATAGACATTAATACAGGAAAGACAAAGATATCTCTGGTTTCATGTTGTCTACTACTTAGCTTCTACACTTGGTTGTTTTTATCATATTTATATAGAGGGGAAATCTATAAAGTAATAAGGCTATTATCCATTATTAAGAACATTGATTGAGGAAGATAGATTTAGTTTTCAGATGAAGAAACCAAATCCATGTAAACGTGTACCTTACTTGTGGCAACTGAAGCTGTAAATATCAGAATGTGATAAGCAGGGGCAATTCTTCAGTAAAAGATGAAGCTTCTTACAACTTATGCTTAAACTCTGTTTCCCACTATTTTTGGCCTGCAATGTTCCTCATGAGCTTGGAACTATCAAGTCTCACTCACTGACAAGCAGCAAAACTGACTCTTTCCTCCTAGATCCTAACCCTAGAGTTAAGCTTAAACTTAGATCTAGAAGATGAGGATGTTCAGGGGAGACCTTATCACAGAATCACAGAATAACGGAATTGCAGGTGTTGGAAGGAACCTCCAGAGATCATGGAGTCCAACCCCCCTGCCAAAGCAGGTTCCCTACAGCAGGTCGCACAGGTCGGCATCCAGGCAGGTCTTGAACATCTCCAGAGGAGACTCCACCACCTCCCTGGGCAGCCTGTTCCAGTGCTCCGTCACCTCACTGTAAAGAAGTTCTTGCGCATGTTTGTGCGGAACTTCCTATGCTGCAGTTTCCAGCCGTTTCCCCTTGTCCTGTCTCCACTCACCACTGAAAAGAGTCCAGCCTCACCATTCTGCCCCCCACACCTTAGATACTTACAGACCTGGATCAGGTCCCCTCTCAGTCTCCTTTTCTCAAGGCTGAACAGACCCAGTTCACTCAGCCTTTCCTCATAGTAGAGATGCTCCAGGCCCTTCACCATCTTTGTGGCCCTCCGCTGGACTCTTTCCAAGAGATCCCTGTCCTTTTTGTACTGGGGAGCCCAGAACTGGATGCAGTACTCCAGATACCAGGGCAGAGTAGAGGGGGAGGATCACCTCCCTCGACCTGCTGGACACGCTCTTTTTAATGCACCCCAGGATGCCATTGGCCTTCTTGGCCACAAGGGCACACTGCTGGCTCATGGCCAACCTGTCGTCCACCAGGACACCCAGGTCCCTTTCCGCAGAGCTCCCCTCCAGCAGGTCATCCCCCAACCTGTACTGGTGCATGGAATTATTCCTCCCCAGATGCAAGACTCTACGCTTGCTTTTGTTAAACCTCATCCAGTTTTTTTCTGCCCAGCTCTCCAGCCTGTCCAGGTCTCGCTTTACACTCTTTACAGCTCCCTGAAAGGTATCTGTATCAAGGTGAAGGTCAGGCTTTATCTCTTTTCTCAGGTAACTAGTAATAGGATGAGAAGTAATAACTTTAAGTTGCACCAGGGGATATTCAGACTGGATGTTAGAAAAACGTCTTCTCATAAGTGTGGTGAGGTATTGTAACAGGCTGCCCAGGGAGCTGATGGAGTCACCGTCCCTGGAGGTGTTTAGGAAACATGAAGATGTGGCACTGAGGGACATGGTTAGTGGGCATGGTGGGGGTGGGTTGATGACTGCACTAGATGATCTTAGTAGTCTTTTCCAACCTTAACAATCCTATGATTCTAAGTACCATGCATGTGCACTGTAACACACTGTTTTCTCCCTGTCTCCCTCTGCCAGAAACATCTACACAGCTTCTGTCATCTCAGAGGCCAGCTCTGCCCAGCCTGTGGCACTTCTGTCCACCACAGCCCCGTACAAGCTGCTGTGTGAACTATTCATCAGCCAAGGCTCCGTCATGTAAACCCAGACAAGTGAGCAGCCTGATCTTCCAGGTTATCAGGAGTTACTATGCATACAAACAAGAGAGAAAAGGTCTGCTATAAAGCAAGTTCTAAATGTGTATGAATGCTGGTGTGGTGTTTGGACATTTCCTACTTTTCCTAATGCCAATTCTTGCATTTGTTTGGGAGGGTGTGGCTCTGCGAGAGCCAAAGATAATTCTCCAGTGCCTGTACTTATACAAAGAAGTGTGGATGCACGTAGCTGGGTCTGAGCCTCCTGCCTGTCTCTCAGAGCCCAACCCTAGAACTGCACACTCCCT